ATACCTGCTGGTTAAATTATTCCCTAAAAATAGTGTTAATCTTGGAAGAAGATACTTATGCCAACGATCTTCAAAAAGTCAGAGAAACGGAAACAGAACTTATAATGTTTAAAAATAAATCAACAAAACACATTAACAAAAGCTGGATTCCAGTTGAATAAGTGGAATAACAACGTAAACAAATTGAATAACGACATTGAGGCCAAATCTACAAAAATACTAAAACTTCATTGAAATTAGAAAAGAGATCAACTTTTTATTTAATTTGCTGTTTGTAAGGTAAATAAAGAAGTTATGATAAAAAGAAAAATGCTTCTGGCATTAACAGTGTTTTTGACGTATTAGCATTAAGTTCTTGTTGTAAATAACCGGAAAAATACAGTCAATTATGCTTATTGAAAAATTGATGGGATCATGAAATACTATTCAAACTTTTGAGAGACTTATCAAGCTGGATCAAGGCATTGATGCAACAAAAGAACTCTTTCAATTCCGCGTAATATTGTGTCTGAAAAACTTATTCAGCTCCATGGATTTTTGGATTCAGCATAAGACTATCGTTAAATTTATAGAACAACATATATTTGAGAAAATGTGAAATAAACATAAGTATCGGAAAATTCTAAGGATATCATCTTTATATATAAAGAATAATTTACAATTGTCGTAATAAAAAAAAAAATTGTTGGATCAATAAAAGCTAAAGTGATGATAGTGATGGAATTGTAAAAAAAATTACGATAATCCAAGAAGTTGTTTACTAAAATTCCGATGTGGAACTTGGTAGTCAGGTTTCAGAACCATACCACTTGAATGAATGAAAAATATACTTATTTACATTAAAAAGGTTGCCACAAACAAAAACTACACAGAGGGTTAGGAGGTATAATGGATATCTTATAACAAAGATTCTCAATACCAAAAATGAGAGTCTCCATGTAAAAGATCATTCAAAGATGCAATTTGTGTGAAAGAAAAAAAGAGTACCACTTTTACCACTTTTAACGCCAACAAAAGCAGTGTTCCTTTACTTTAGAACTGACGATATTGATTTTTGTTGGTTTTGCTCGTCCGCTAAAATATATGGCGTCAGAAAAGTTAGTTAGGAAATGTTACGTTGCGCTATCAACATGCGCAAGCACAAGAGTTGTCTATCTAAAACTTGCCACGATCTAAGACATAATTTCTAAAGATTTTAAAGGAGTTTGTTGTATGTAAAGGATCACCTCAATGGAAATCAGCAAAAACGCAAAAGCATTTGTAGCAACAAGAAAATGGTTGTTTACGTTTAAAGATGGGCAAAAATATAGCTACACTAGCCTTTAAATGAAGGTTTAATCTATCAGGAGTACTTTAGTAAGGAGGTTTATTTGAAAGATTAATTAGAATAATGAACAAAAATTTATCAAAAACAATTAGTACAGACATGCTATATTTTTATGAATTGGAGGAAGTATTGATGAATTTGGAGTGTTTAATCAATAATAGACCAATTTATTAGCAAGGTAACAAGTTCGACAAATTTAATGGCAAGTAAATACGTTCAGTAAAATTGATTACATGAACTCGCGTTATAAAGTCTTGCTCACAAGTATAACAGAATACATCATTCACACAATTTCTTTCTGATGAAGTTTTATAGCTGAAAATAAAAATATTTTTAATATATGCTGAAAACATTATTTGCATAATACAATCAATTTTAGTTCAATTTTAAAAAAAAGTCTCTATTTTAGCCCCAGCTAAAATTGAGACTTTTTGCAAACCAAGCCCCGGAGCTTGGTTTGCAAAAAGTCTCAGTTTTAGGTAAAATTATTAGAATTAGCACGGGTTGATAGCCGGGACTAGAAAATAATTTGTAATAGTTTACATATTAAAATTTTATACGTAGATTTATTATTTATTAAACTCTAATTTACTTCCAAAAAAGTTAAAGGCAACCAGTATTAGGTTATGAGTTTTTTTGAAATAGAGGATAGGGTTAAAAAGCTTGAAAACGGTTAACTGAAGTTAACCGGGTAATATAAAAAAAGTTGTATAAAAAAAGAAAACATGAAGACGGGTAAGAGTGATAAGGTTTTTTTAATATGCAAGGAAAAAAACTTGATTAGTAATATTTTCACAGCATGAAGGGACAGATACAGTAAAAAGATGTAACTTGTTAAATAAGACGCCAAGCAAGAACTTTATGCATCCTCATCAATAACATATTAAAACTAACAAATACTGAACTAGAAAAACTTAACAATTTGTTTATATCAAATAATTAAAAAACTATTAATAACCTTTACTTGAGGTGCGTTTTTTTAATGATTTTGTTTTCGAAACAGAACAGCCCTAGAACGGCTTCTTTTTAGGGTTATATTTCCGCATTTTCTCAAATATCTAAACTATAAAAAAACTCTTATTCAGAAATCTGAAAAAAAGATGGAACTAAAAAAATGGAACTAAAAAAACTCAATAATAAAAAAGAAACCGCAAGCAATCTGGTAGCCGTTTTTGAAAATAAATTAACACTTTATTTACAATAATGTGGCATAATAATGTGAGTTGTCAACAAGGCCAAAAGTAGCAAGACTATGGCCAAGAGTTTGAAGGTCATGGCAAAGATTAGGAGTTTCAAGGCCAAGCCTACTCAAATATTTACCAGACCAAAGACTTCAATTTTAGCCTTACGTTAAAACCAATTAATAACAAGTCAATAAAAAAATATGTATTTTTAAGGCCAAAAAAATCAAGACCAACAGTTTCAAGAAAAAGGCCTCAATTTTTGGCCTCAAGGCAAAGCCAAGGACTAACAACTCTGCGTAAAATACTCCACACTTGTGTTTAGGAATGATAGCTACACACCAAGAGAGTGTAGCTATCATTCTCGCGGAAAGAGTGGAGAAAAACTCCACTCTTTCCGCGAGTGTGTAATAATATTAAAATTTAAAATATCATTAATATGATTATATTAGGAGTTTCAACTCCTAACATAATTATATTAATGATATTGTAAATTTTCAATTATTTTCAAATTATTTCAAATTTTAACAAAAAATATCAACTTTGATCATTTTTGAAAAATAGAATGGTGGATTGATTTTAATGGAAAAAATAGAAAGGTGGAGCTTGAGGGGGTTGGTATTAGATTGAAAACTGTTATGCTATATATGTTATATAGCATAACAAAAGCATTACTTTTGTTATGCTATATATGCTATATAGCATAACAGAAAGTTATAAAACTAAATAATTAATCTAGAATTCTAGTCCAAAAAAAAAAAAAAAAAAAATCATTTGCCTAAACATACAAAAGCAAAGTTGGAAGCCAAAAAAAGTTTTAATTTCATTCAAAAATGAGAAATATCTTCTAACTTAAATCATAAAGAAATCAGTAAAATCTAATTGGATGGAGTACTGATAGCAAATAATCTAAAAGCTTATGCTCTATTTATCTTTTGATTTGGATTTTTTTTTCCATCTTCTAGACAATGCACACCAAAAGTAAGAACAGGGACACCATCAATGCGCATCATGGCACTGTTAATACTCTGATATTTTTCAGCTGTTGATAAAATCAACTTCTCTGAGAGAAGTGGTATGGTTCTGAAACCTGACTACCAGCCGGTTTCAGAACCATAAAACTGAGTTTTAGAGCTGTACCCTTAGGAGATAATATAATGAGTTGCCTAGTCATAAAAACAGAGACACAAGCAAAACCCATGCGTTGAGTCAAGAGGATCCGCAATTCCACATCCTAAGCTAGAAACAATGTATTAAAAACACATCTGCGCCAGCCTAATAGATGAAGAAGGAGTGCGAAGCTAGACAACAGATAAAATCTGTTTACCCTTTAAGTTTTTGCCTAGGAGGCATTCAACAAGAAAGTAGCCGGATGCGTTAAACATCTGCCCAAGATAAGTATTTTTATTGAGACACCATCTCTAGCCTTTACTCAACCAAGAACCCCAAGGCTGAGAGAGTTTTAAGTCGGAGTTGGCTTCGCCTTTAAAAAACTTAAAAAAAGTGTATCCTACAAAGCAAAGGACATGTTGCAGGTTGTACGTGTTACATGTTACCAGTAGCAGGATAACCTGACCTGAAATTTAAGTGTTGACATAAAGTGGGACAAAAAAAAAAGACAAGCTTATATCCTACTTCTCTCATATCACGTTTTTATAGTTGTTTTCGTATTATGAAACCACTTGTATATTTTGTTGAAGATTACTTAGTTTTTAATTGTTAACTTTTGTTAATATATTGGAAATGCCCACGTTTATCCCATGGCTCTAAAATCAAAAATATATATTATTTATTATAACCTGCTGTCAATTTTAGGGGATGAAATCAGCGCTCGAAATGATACTTTATTTGTTAAAACTTGTACGATGCAGTACATCATATAAAAAAGTTATTGAAGTTATTTAAAAAATATTTTTTTTATGTTACAGTTTTCTCCTCTCTTCCCTACATCTCAGTTATTATATAAGTTTACTATTTCAAATAACAAATCGTTCATAAAAATAAAATTTAAATTCTCGTAAAGACCCGAGCTGCGATACCAAAATATCTGTCAACTAATCTTGCTGATCCAGCAAAATTAGTTGACTTTTGAAAAGTTATTTTAAAAGTATTTTTGGGTAAAGTAGGTTTAAATCTCATTTAAACTTGATAAGAAAAACATATATCATTAAAAATACAAATTCTTTAGTTTTAGCCTATAACCACCTTAAAAAAACCATTTGTGACCTTCCATTAACTGCTAATTATTATATTTATCATTTATCATTTATTTATAATTATTAACATTATTTATTATTATCACTATTACATCATTAAACTTAAAAACTACTCAAGATATAATTTAAACTTTTGACTGATATAAAACCTTCACAGTCCCATAGAGTATGCTTAATTAATTAGTTAAGTAAAATATATTACCATATATCTTATTAAATTATTTTTCAATATTTAAAAATATAATTATTTTCCTTTGTTAAAAAAAACAACAGACAAAAACGATCAGCAATAATGCAGACCAGATATTTCTGTTCTACAAAGATAAAAAGTACAAAAAAGTTGTTAATACTAAATAAATAGTTTAATGGCATAATTCAACGCTTAATTTTTCTCCTCATTTACAAACGAATTTCGACCATAAAAAAATAAATAAAATGTCAGTAAGCCATTAACAAAGAGACCTAGCAGACCAAACAATGGAAACCCAAACAAGCTATACAACACTCCACCAATCATAGGAGTAACAGTGCGTATAAAAGAGTTTGAAGCCATGGAAAGACCTAAAATTAAAAAAATTTATCAACAACCTTTCATTTAAGATAGTTCAAATATCAAAAACTCATAATACATTTGATTTTTAGTATTCTCGCGTGCTTAATACTAGAAGAGGGAGGACGGGGGTAGTGTGAGATTAAAGAGAGGGAGAGAGTCTTCATAAAAAGAAAGAAAGTAATTTTTTCTTATATCTAATTTCGATTTATCGTCGGCGTATAATCAAAACCTTGTAAATTAAAAACAATATTTTTTACAGAACAATCATAAAACAATTTAATTCTAGAGTGGCTCACAGAGAAATGTACATTCACTAACAGCTTTTTCATCATAGTTTCAATAGGATTTAATATGCTTATAGGTTATATATATAATATGCTTACATATAGGTTCTATACCATGGCGAGAAATAAACCAAAAGCTCATTTTTGACAAATCGAAATTACAAGATTTTTTTATAGGTCGACGATTTTAAAGCTTGATTACACGAAAAGTTTTTATTTTTATCAGTGACTAATATATCTGTCGTGTATGGCATTTACAATATATGTCAAACTTGAACATTTTACAGGAGAACATTCTAAAGTTTTTCAAATGAGTTTCTGAAGTCAAATAATGATAAAGAGACGTAAAATTTATATGTTAATAGTAAAATTTGTAGTGTTTGTTACTTTTGTTGTTATTTACACAAGTGTAATATGAGATAAACTATAAGGTTCGATAGATATATTTTCTAACTTTCAAGGAAGGTTTACACTCACATTTTTTTAGTTAGTCTTTTTTGTTGATACCAAGTAACGGCGGTAGGATGGGGGGGGGGTGTTAAGCGTGGGGTGAGACAAAAATTAATTAATGCCCTCATCTGCGTATTAAGCACGAAAGAGTAGGCTAAAAATAAAATTATTATAGAACTTGAATATAGCATCAAGTTGTTAATATTAGAAAACAATTATTATTATACCAAGAGCAGCACCGGTATCTTGGGATGAAACCGACTTCGTTACTAGGCTTGTAATTATTACTGTAAAAACAGATCCGCTAGTGATTAAGGGAACCAAAACAATAACAAAAGCATAAATATTTGTAACAAAAATCTATAAAAAAAAAATTACATTATTAACTAAATGCTAAAAATCAAACCAAAGAAAACAATTTCATTATGATTTAAAATCAAAGTAAATTAAAACAAAGAAAAAATTTTTTTTTTTTTATTGTTAAGAATATTTACTTACCAATAAAAAGTTACTTGCCGCAAGAACAGCAACAGAATACTTAATAAGCATTGACTCTGAAAAACGTCTTGTGAGAAAATCTGTGCATAAACCTTGAACTATCTAAAAAATATATAAAAAAAAGTAAAAATATTTTGTATGTAAAATAATATTTAAAAAAAAATAAAAATAGAAAAAAAAAAGTTAAAAAAAAAGTTAAAAAAAAAAAAATAGAACAACAAAAATATGTAAAGCTTAATTTTACTTTATCATAAAATTAAAAAAAAAAATACAAAATTTTAATTCTGCTTTATCATGAAAGCACTTTTTATGTATTTTTATGTATTTAATGTATATATCTTTAACATATCTTTATATGTTAAAGATATACTTGTATTAACCATTGCATTTCATACTACTGTTAATTTAAATTAACATTAATTGAAACCTTAAAAAACCATATATTTTTTGTTTAAAATACGTTTAAAGTTAAAAATTGTTAAAGTAATGCACTGATTTAAAAAATTTGGCCCAATAATGCTATATGATGACATTGCACATGTTGAATTTCAGTATTGTTTCTTATATTATATTCATATTGCTAAACTCTGAGTTCTACAATTGATTTTAAAAATAGCACTAAAATCGTAGCTTGTCCAAAAAAAAAAAGAAAGAAATTATTTAATATGCGATCATTGACAGTGGAATGAAACCTTAAGCTGTTTGAAAGTCTCTATTATAATCTTCTTCAAATAATTTTTGTATTAAACTTAGCCTAAATTTAAAGTTTTTTATTGTTTTTTTTTTTTCATTTGTACAATTTGTACAAATGAAAAAAAATCATCACAATCACCCTACTACTAGTATCTTGTAACCCAGTACTACCTGCCCCATGCCCTACTGCCTTATAGGGTGTGCTTTTGTAGGAAAAGGCTAAAAGAAACAAACTCCAACTTGAAAATCTTTTGTTGTGGGGATTTTGGTTGAGTAAAGGCTAGAAATGGTTTCAATAAAAATACTCATCATGGGCAGATGATAACTACATCCAGCTACTGTCTTGTAGGAGGCCTCCTAAGCAAAACCTTTAGGGGTAAGCAGAATATTTTTGCTAACCAGCTACGAATCCCTTCTTCATTTATTTGGCTTGCGCAGATGTAAACCTGCATTACCAACCCAGGAAGACGAATGCTGGTTCTTCTTGACTCTACTCATAGGTTTTTGCTTGTGCCTCTTTGATAGTGGCAATGCAACTCTTCTTGTTATCTCCTAATGATGATAAAGCTCTAAAACTAAGATTAATAGTTCTGAGGCAGGCTGGTAGTAAGGTTTCCTGAACTCTGTTGCAGATTTTAGAGGGGCTAATTCCATCAACAGCTGCAAAATATTAAAATATTAATAGTGTCATGTTGCACATGGATGGTGTCCATAATAGTGCTTTTGGTACCTATTGCCGAGGCCACAGAAGGAGCCATATGTTACAACTCAGGGTTAACTAACAAGATTAAGACAATTGCATAGCTCATTGCTTAGGAGGCCGTGCTCTATCTATAAATGATTCAAGTTCTCTTTAAACTTAAACCATGCTAAAAGTTCACATAAAAAAACCATCCCCAACACCTAACTGTTTTAATATCTCTTTTACAAATACTAGTAGTCTGCAAAGCAACTTTCCATCAGTTGCATCTTACCTCTTGCAAAATTCACCAGACTTGCTTGTTCTTAGTGACACTAACTTAAATGCCGCTATGCCTTCTTCAGATCTCAGTGTTGATATGTACAACCTTTTGATTCACAAAGACTTTAACAGCCACATGCTTGGCTTGGAGGTAAACATACACATCAATTAACCTATTTGTCATGAAATCAGGTTCAAATCTTTTGACAATTCTTTTATGTGCACCTCTTTACTCTATCACCATTCTCCTTATGTGCACCTCTTTACTCTATCACCTTTTTCTTTATTCTTTGTTCTCATTTTTCCTAAGACTGCACTCTTTTAGATGTAAATTCTGATCAAATTGACCATTCCCTCTCTCTCTAACCCTCTGCCAATATTGCTGTTATTAGTGACTTTTATGCTCAACACATTAAATGGCTTGGCTCTAACACCACTCACCATGGTGACATTAAAACCTATAACTTCTGTATTTCTAAATCTTTTCTCTCTCAGTTGAAAAATGCGCCTCCTACATAACCTCCTAGATTCAGGCAGAAATAGAAGCTTTTATTCCTTCTTGTTGGTTTCAAGTCAAACCTCATTCTACTCCACCTTCTTGTGCAGCTACTATAACTATATGAATAAAAAAATACATTAAAAAAAAATCTAATCATATTCATATTTTTATCTTTTTCAAAAGAACAACTCTCTTGAAAACAAACAGCTATTTATTATTGCAAGAAATCAATGTAGAAAGTGCTGTCTGATGTTAAGCTCTATTTTTCTCAGTTCACTAAATCTCGTATCTTATTTCAAAAGCTAGGCTCTAGAGACTTTTGGAAAATCTTTAGCAGCGTCATTAACAAAGGATGGTCTAACATTCCATTTCATTTATGGGACTAATCATATTACCTCTCCCAAGGATAAGGCAGAACTACTTGCAAAGAACTTTTCTTCTAATTCGACTCTTAAATCTTATGGCCATTCTCTTCCTTTCATTCAAGTTAAACAGGTTTACTTATTGGTAGACATTCAAACCACTTTCTGTTGCTAAAGTCATATTTTTATTAAACTCTTTTACGGCTTGTGGTCCAGACAACATTCCTGTGATAGTCTTACACAATTGTTTTCCAGAGCTCTCTTCAATTCTCTATAAACTATTTAATATGTGCTTGACTAAGTCTTGTTTACCTGCCTGCTGGAAAATAGCATTGTTGTTCCAATTTTGAAAAACTCCAGTGAACATTCTGATCTTTCCTATTATTATCCGATTAGTCTTCTTTCTGTTATTAGCATGGTCTTTAAGTTATTGATCAACAAACTTCTCACATCACATCTTGAGTCAAATAAGTTACTGTCAGATTATCAATACGCTTTTCTATCATCTTGCTCTACCGATGTGATTGAAAGATTTTATCTTGCATTAGATGGAGGCAGGGAGGCTAGGACTATTGCTTTTGAAATATCTAAAGCATTTGACAAAGTTTGACATGCTGGTCTTCTCAAACTGTTTTATCAAAGTAATCCTCAAAGGCCAACACTCTTCTTCATTTCGAGTAACTTCTAGGTTAGCCCAAGGTTCTTTCCTTGGTCCTGTTTTGTTTCTTATCTACATTAATGATCTTTCTAACAACCTTACATCTAAAGTAGTTCTTATTGCTGATGATTCAACTTGACAAAGAGTATTTCCTCTTGACAAAGAGTATTTCCGATCGCTTAAAAATCGCTTGTAAATGGAAAAAAACACAAAAAACGGAAAAAAACACAAAAAACTTTACGTTGTATTTGCGTTAATAAGGTAAAACTAATATTAAATATATTGAAATATTTCACATCCCGAAGATAATCCACTGCTGCAGAGTAGTAGCCCTCCTACAAAAAATTTGAATTGGTGTAAACAATTGCAAATCAACTTCAACAATTAATATGAGTACAATCGCGGAAAAATTTATTGAAGATATTATCAACGAGGCCCTAGAGCAGGCTAAAATAGGAGTAACTACCAATAACAATGCATTTGACAAAAACTACAAAAGTAAAGTTGTTGATATGATCAAAATTACGTTAATGGTGGTTATAACCCAAATCAAACATCAATATGACAAAGAGATCAATGATCTTCGAGAAAAAATCAATGGAGTAAATAACAACCCAACAACAGCAGCTAATCAGTCTTATCTAAATATAGCAAAATGCAAAACTTATGTTAACTTTGTAGCAATGGAAATAAAAACTAGAAAAGAGAGAGAGTCAAATATAGTAGTCGTTGGTCTTAAAGAGTCTGACAATAGAAGCGATAAAGATCTTGTAAAAGAGTTTTTTGAAGCAATTGAAGTAAACCATGAGAAAATTGTTCACGTTCGTCGCTACAAAAGAAGAAACAAACAACCTAGCAATCTCAAGAATATGAACCAGGATAAACAAGATCCAATTGGTGTAATACAAATTGTGTTCAAATCGATAGAAGCACAACAGGACGCCCTAGCAAAAGGCAACTTCCACAAAGAAAAAGCGTTCAGAGGAGTGTACACTCAAGAGTACCAAACAGCCGCAGAGCAAGAAGCTTTCAACAAACTATACAATGAAAAGAAGCAAAAAAAATGAAGATCTTATGAAAGCTAGTCTGAAGGAACCCTTTCGATGGATCGTTCACAGATGGACTGGATCTGTGCGCTGCATTGCACAGTGATTTAAAAACACTTAAAATTTGGCCAAAATATAGTTTTTTGAGTAGCAAAATTTAAACATTATTAGCTAACTATTTTCTACAGTTTCTTCTAATTCTAACGGTATAAAAAAATACGTACTGAAATAATAGATTTAAACTATTAATTTTTGTTTGAAAATTACCGAAAACAGCTTTTTTTTTCATTAAAATTTTACCATCATTAAAACTTAATTTTCTCAATAAATACAAAACCTTTTATTTTAATTTTCATTATATACAAAGATAATAGATAATTTTATCTTAATTCATAAACAAATTTAAATATATATTTATACATCTTATAAAAAATGCATTTAAAATAATGCATATAGTATATATATATATATATATATATATATATATATATATATATATATATATATATATATATATATATATATATATATTAAAAAGTTTTGTTCAGAAACATTGGGAAAAACTCTCATTACATAAAATTTGAAGTTAATTTACGTCGAATTAGCTTTTACATCGTTAATTTTTTTGTAAAGTGAGCTTTTTAAAACCACAATAATTCAAAACGAGATGAGTTGAGGCAGCTAACATTTTTAGATTCTAACAGAATGGTTAAACTCTCTTTAAACAAAGGTTTGGCTTCGCTAAGGAAGTCTAAGGTAAAATGGCCTAGCACTATAAAAAACAATTTAAACTCATAAAAATTGCATTTTTTAAATGCATTTTTTTATAAGATGTATAAATACATATTTAAATTTATTTATAAATTAAGATAAAAGTATCTATTATCTTTGTATATAATGAAAATTAAAATGAATGATTTTGTATTTAGGGAGAAAATTAAGTTTTATTGACGATAAAATTTTAATGAAAAGAAAAGAAGCTGTTTTCGGTCATTTTCAAACAAAAATTAATGATTATTAGTACATATTTTTTATACCGTTAGAATTAAAAGAAACTGTAGAAAATAGTTAGCTAATTATACTGTTTAAAATTTACTACTCAAAAAGCTATATTTTGGCCAAATTTTAGGTGTTTCTAAATCACTGTGAATTGGCACAATCTAATCAGTCAATAACAAAAAGTGTGTTTGGATTAGCAAATAGCAATCAGATCAAATCAAAACAGCAGAAACCAGAGTCAATAAAAACAATCCCAAACTCTTATCCACAACCATTGTCTTTTCCACTAACTAAATTACTACTACGCCAACCAAAACCATTTTTGGTTGCCTTTAAATCAAACCAGCAATGCTTAAACCAACTAAATCATCTGAAATCAAACAAAATTAAAAAAATATATATATCAACCCACATAAACAACTTATTTTCTAGGCAAATAATCCTCGTTCGCTAAATGAAGCCAAAAAAAAAGATGAACTAGTTGCAAGAATTGATAATGAGATAGTATATTATGCAAATGGTTACTTTCCACACTCACCACAAAAATAGAAAAGAAAGACCATCAGAACATTAGATTTATTAATCACTGATAAACCTGACCGCATAGATAATCTACATGAAGGTAACTCACATGGTTACACACCAGCTGGGGAAGCCCACTGCCTACTTATTGGCTCATTTGCTATAAACAACGCTTGTGTTGAAAAAGAATAAAAAAGATTTATCTGGAGTAGGGGTAATTATAAAGCAATCTCAACCCTTATCAGATGATTATAAGATTTTAGGGGTAATCAAAGCAGAAGATAATGCAATAAAACTACAACAAGACATCACAGTCGAATGGTCTAAAAAGTGGCTCATGTATTTCAATCTAGACAAATGTAAAGTCATGCATGTTGGTCACTCAAATAAATCAGTGCGCCTTTACTCAATGCTTGACATATATGGTACTCAAATAGAAATTGGAACAACAATTATTGAAGGTGACTTAGGTGTTCTAACATCAAACGACCTCAAAGTTGAGCATCAAGTAGAATCTGTAGCAGCTAGTGCAAACCAAGTACTTGGCAAACTAAAAAATCTTTTCGCAAAAGAGGGCTAATGTTATAGAGAGTACTCTACACAACATACATTAGACCTCATCTCGAGTATGCCATCCAAGCCTGGTTTCCTCACCTAAAAAGTGATATAAAAGCACTTGAATGCATTCAACAGCGAGTAACAGGTGATAAGCGAGATAAAACACACAAGCTGGGGAATGACTGGCCATACTTAATCTTATTACTCTAGAAGAGTGCCAAAAAAGAGGCGACCTCATTCAACAGTATAAAATCACCAATTAAATAGAAAAAATAAACTTGTAGTTCCTCAAATATATACCCAATCATTATCAGATTATAATTTGCATGGACATAATCAGCGACTATCACGGCAAGTTGTGAAATCTTGCCAAGAACGAGACAATTATTTTACTAACTGAGTTGTTAACAACTGGAATGGACTACCAGCAAATGTAGTCCATGCAAGTTCTATGAACATTTTTAAAAGTCAATTTGATGCATTTTCAAAGCTAACTATGATACACTGTGTGTCCCAAATTACGTCATCATAGTGGTGCCTGATGCTGCACCACTTCATCAAAGTTTACAATTCAATCTTTATTCTTTTACGGTGTTTTTTTTTTTTAAAATGGCTTGTAAATTTTTGATTTATGAATAAACAAATTCAATATTTTAAATTCAAATTTAAATTTTAACTCCAAAAAAACTCTGTTATTTACTGCAAACAACTATTGCTAAACTGTCAACATTCTTATATTAATTAAAGGCAAACCTCTCACTGAGTACCTTCTGTATATCTTCTTGGATTATCGCTTACTACTATTTTTTCATGAAAACCATATATACAATTGATTGTTAAATTAGCATCCGCTAAAGTTGCTTTCCTTTATCATGCTAGCTGTTTTCTTACTTCTGATTTTATTCTCTACCTCCACAAACCTGTTATATGTTCTTGTATGGAATATCGTTGTCATATTTGGGCTTTTTCTACTAATAATGCTCTTTCATTTCAACCAATTGAAACTCTCTCCCATCTTCATATTTTTCTGACTAAACATACAACTTTTCGAGTCTTCTGTCAACTGTTTCCTTGGTCTATACCTTCATTCTTTTTTTATAGTAACTCCCAACTTAATAGAGGGTGCTTGCAGCTTTGTTGGGAGTGAATCAAAATAAAAAAATTTAAAACAAAAATGTGGAAACAAAAAGAAATTATTAAAGACACATAAAAGAGCAAAATTCAAATTAAATTATTATCAATTTGAAATTAAAAAAAAAATGTTATAAGTAAAAAGAATTTTATTTTATTTTTTTTTTTTTTATTGTACAAATTTTTGAAATCATTTCACAAATGGTTAAATAATTGCATTTTTTAGCTTGAATCTCAAAATTAGAATTTTTCGAATAGAAATACAGTTAATGTAGCTATCCACTTTTTTTTTTTGTTGGTAATAGGTCTATGACTAGACCTATCGTTTTTAGAAACAAAAGCTAATTATGAATAATGTTCCAATAAAAACTTAACATTTTTTACTAAACAACATTTAAAACAAAGAATTCTATTATCAAACATTGAAAATGTTTTTAATAAATCCTCATGTGTTAGTTATCCTCATGTGTTAGTTAAATCTTACAAGTGCAAGTTTAATACTACCCAACCAAACACATCAGAGCACCAAATGAAATAATCTAAAGCTCTAACAGAAACTTTTAATTTTAAAACTGAAAAAAAAATTTAAGGAGCACATCGCCTCAATCTACATACTTTCGATTCCTTAATACAAGAGTGTGAGAAGGGGAGGAATAAAGGGAGGGTTGGGTTGGAGGGAATTTTAGTCTTAATAAACAGAGGGGGAAGGGGGTCAGTTTGTGAAAACATTCGATCAAGTGCCATGTTACAATATAAGTCTTATTACAAAAAATGTTAATTTGTAAATCCAAACTAAATTTTTTTACAAAACAAGCATAAAACTATTTAATTCTAGCGTAGCTTCGGGCCAAATGCGCATTTTCTAACAGCTTTTATTATGATGGATGGTGCTACGCAGGTGGCTTGAGAGACTGCCAGGTTTTATGTTGTGTTACTCAAATGAAACCTATTTTATTCAAGAGCATGTGTCTTGAAAAATGTTAGAAAAACTATACATTAAGAAATTGTTTCAGTTCTTGTGTCATGGCAATAATAAATACGCTTTGTCATCATAATGACCTGTTAACAATTGTTGCACCCAGCATCCATACTTGCCTAAGCATTACATCCATCAGGATAATCTGTTTACAGTAAACCAAGGTCAATTAGGTAGATAATACCGTAAAAATAAATTAAAAAACACCACTATTTGAAAACAGTATAAATGGGGATTATTCAAAAAATATATATTTTTCTAACTGCTGCAAAAACCATCTGGAAACTTTAACTTATTAAAAAAAATAATAAACTTTTTTTTTAAATCCTCATATATAACATAAATATATATAATGCAAATATAATACAATTTATGGTAATTAAGGTATTTAAGGTATTTTATGGTAATAATGGTATTTAAGACATTAGACATAAAATAAAGACTTATATCATTTATAAATACCAATATCAAGTTGTATTCATCAAGACAGAAGAAAAAAAATCCATGCAATATACTAATATTGATTTTAGCAGTATTACACTATTTATAATACTGAGAATATTTTCTCAGTATTAGAAATATTACTTAAAAACATACCATGCCAGTAATCCCAACATAAGAAAGCACAATTCCATTTTCTTTAGCACTCAAATGAAAATAATCCATTGTAAAAACAGAAAACATGGCTTGAAAAACACCAATAGGAAAACTGGAAATAGTTTTTATGACAAACAGGTAAGTGAAGTTGGGCAGTTGGAAGATACTTATGTATTTTTTCATATCAAAAACAGAATCATTCGAAACACTCTAAAAAAAGGAGAACATGTCATTTAATCCGTAGGTTATCTTCTGGTACATCATGGACTACAATTAACTATTGTTGATTTAGGAAATAAATAATGTCTTATTGACATAGGGGTAGTTTGGGGGGGGGGGTAATTTACCTTTATTAATATATGGGTATTTTTATTAATACCTTATTAATATATGGGGAATTTTACAAATCAAAGAAATTATAGTAAAATTGCAAATGAATGTTGAAAAATAAAAATAAAAATTTCAAATAAATGTTACCAAATAAAAATTGTTGAACCTTTTTTCTGCTTTTTTCAGTGCACTCTTTAAAATGCTTTGGTACAAATATAAAAACAACAACTACCATGGCTGCAGATCCAATCATGGCTGCAAAAGCAGCTGCTTGTTCACTAAATTTATCAGTTAAGAAACCACCTAATAGGGGTCCAACAACCATTCCTATACCATAAGAAATTCCCAGTCGACCAATACCAGCTGCTCTTTCTAATAAGAAAAGATAAAAAGATTATTAAGCTAAATTGATTTTCGATGAAAATAAACTGTTAAATTATTAAGTTTTAGATTAAGACTAAGTAATTTTAATGAGATAATATAAATATAAATAAACATATATATATATATATATATATATATATATATATATATATATATATATATATATATATATATATATATATATATATATATATATATAACTATATATATATAACTATATATATATAACTATATATATATATATATATATATATATATATATATATATATATATATATATATATATATATATATATATATATACATACATATATATATATATATATATATATATATATATATATATATATATATATATATATATATATATATATATATATATATAATATATATATATATATATATATATATATATATATATGTATACACACACACACACACACACACACACACACACACATAGACACACACAAACACACACATTGGTCCCAGCTGTCTAAAAAAGTAAAAAATTAAGTTTTTGCATTTATAGTAGGGGCAGGGTCACTAACAAAATTTCAAAAATACCATGAGAGTTATTTTCGTAGCTTGATCTATTTATTTTTAAATTAGGTTTTGTTTTTTTGTAAAAATGATGGGAAGAGTTCAGCTTAGGGGAGGGTTTTTTTTTATTTTTATTATGGACATTAAATATAAAACATTTTTGTAATAGTAGATTTTTTATTTAAAGAAAGACTATTTTATAGTTTTTATCCAAGATTTTTTATTAGTTGTTTTAAATTTTAAACAATTATAAGCTAAAACCATTAAGTTTGCTTCTCCGTCTAATTTAGTTTCTAAAAGTTTCAATGAGGTCTTGACTAGAGTTAGAGGCACGTTCTGCACTGCAATGTAGAACAGAAAGACCAGTGACAAATTTTTTAAAAATCTTTTATAACCTGGAAATAAGTATAATAATATATAGCGATATATACACATAGCACATAGCCACAATAAGTTTCAGTTGGATAAACTGGTTTTCAGCATTTTATCTAAAGTAATGTCATTTTTAACAAACAACATTTTAAATTAAAAAAAAATCAGTTTTCAGGTCCAAAAAATCTTTAATTTTTATATAACTTGGAGACTTTTCTGTTTTAGCTAATTCAAGAGCTAATTTATGAAATTATTTTACGGATGATGAATAAAAAAAGAAACAACATACTTTTTAAATTTTCTAAAAGGATGGAGATACTGTCTATCTTATTATCTCTATTATTGCAAGTATCTAAAGAT